GAAGAGTGATGCTGACGTCTGCTATATATATTATATATATATATATATATATATATATTTATATATATATATATATGTAGTAGATATTTCTATATCAATCCATCGTCGATGTTTAACTACTAACACGATATAGCCCATGGAGATACCATGCATACTGCGAGGTTCAATCTGTGATTTAATGAAAAGAAAAAGAACAAACATTGCCCAAATGAAATGGGTCACATCCTATGTATGTTATAATTATACTATAGGCTACTATCTATGTATCCTAATGTTTACCCCTAATAACTGAACATTTAAAACACATATCCAGAGTCAGTGTAAACTTACAATAACAAATAGCTAATAAACTTTTAAACCTTGCACAAACAATCTTATCTTCAAACAATACGTACTAGTTATTAGTGTAAACTTACAACATTAGGCTTATCAAACTTCTACATATCGACGGAATTATCAGTGGCTCACACACAAAGTAACTTTTTGGCGCCAAATTATTGCCCGCTAAAGGACGAATTATAGTTATTTTAATCCTCACTAACATCATATATATATATATATATATATATATATATATATATATATATATATATATAATTTATATAGTACTCCGCACGTGCTTGCTCTGTTATGTCATTGCACTCATAGTGCCTCTTTATGTCTGATATATATGTATATATATATATATATATTATTAATTAATTGTATCCCCCGCGACGAAAGTCGGTGGGATACTATGGTTTCATGTCTCCCCAGCCGCCGCCACAGCCGCTCGGTCCGCCGGAGAGAATTTCCGCTTCGCCCTCTATAACTGACACGCCTAATTGACCTAGCGTGACAAACTTGGTATACGTACACATCTTGGGGAGAAGGTGTGCAGAGTACCAAAACAGGTCACTGCGACCTTTATTTGACCTTTACCTTGATCTTGATCATATTTACCTTCCGCTCTCTAACTCGGCCCCTAATTGACCTAGCGCTACAAACTTGTATACTTACACATCTTGGGGAGAAGTGTGAGCAGCGTACCAAAACCAGGTCACTGCGACCTTTCTTTGACCTTTATTTTGACCTTGATCATATTTCCCTTCCACTCTCTAACTCGACCCCTAATTGACCTAGTGCGACCAAACTTCGTATACTTACACATCTTGGGGAGAACACGGGGGATACATGTAGTTGGCGACAACTGCCCTTTTCTAGTTTATTTATATATGTATATGGATCCCGAGATACGAATTAATTCGTTCCACAGATTTGTTCGTATCTCGAACCCTATATAGGATTTTATTTTTTATTTTTTTATGTCTTTTATCTTTTGATTTCTTATTATTTTTTACTGTTTGGGATGGCATGGCATGGCATGGGATGGGATGGGATGCGGTGCGATGGGATAGCATGGCATGGAATGGGATGGATGCATGGATGGATTCATGGATAGATAGATAGTTGGATTTTTGGGGGTATTTTCCTTTCAACCAAGCGGTCACCAACTGACTAACGCCACTGATTTCCCCGGGCAATGCTGGGTATCCCGCTAGTGTATATATATTATACTTCCACGTGTTGCTCTATTTGATCCATTACGTCATTGCTCTATTTGATCCATTATGTTATTGCTCTACTAGTGCTTCTATACGTCTCTCTATACTCTCACCTGCTGCGCTGATTCGACATTAAACTGACAGTGCTTGCACTCGTCTGTCTACCACGCGCTCTCGCCTGTTCTTCGCTGCACCCGTGATTAAGCCATGAATGAAGCCATGAATGAAGCCATGAATGAAGCCATGAATGAAGCCATGAATGAAGGCCGCGATGATGAAGCTGCCGTCTCACACGTTCTCTCGTCTGCCGCACTTGCAGAGACGGAGGAGCAGAAGATCGAGCTGATGGACATGATCGCCGGCTTCCAGGCGAACCGGCTCAACGACCAGCGCGCGATCCTGCCCGACCTGCCCGGCCTGCAGCGCAACCAGGCGGTCATCGGTCAGCTGCTCGCCAGCAGCAGCCAGCAGGGCGGCCCCGCCGCCGGCCTCGACGACAGCTTCCTAGAGATGCTCATGAAATGTCAGGTGAGAGATGAGGTGTGAGGTGTGAGGTGACAAGTGAGAGATGAGGTGTGAGGTGTGAGGTGTGGTGTCAGGTGAGAGATGTGGTGAGAGATGAGGTGTGAGGTGAGAGATGAAATGTCAAATGAGTCACGAGGTGTCAGGTGAGAGATGAGGTGTGAGGTGAGGTGAGAGATGAGGTGTGAGGTGTGGTGTCAGGTGAGATATGAGGTGTCAAGTGAGAGATGTGGTGAGAGATGAGGTGTGAGGTGAGTGGTGAGGTGTCAAGTGAGAGATGTGGTGAGAGATGAGGTGTGAGGTGAGAGATGAAAAGTTCAGGTGAGTGATGAGGTGTGAGGTGTGGTGTCAGGTGAGAGATGCTGTACTCATAGAGAGCACGTGTGCTGCTTCTTGCTATATCTCTCTCTCTCTCTCTCTTCTTCTCTCCGCCTTTTACTTCTCTCCCTCTTTCCTTCTCTCTCTCTCCTCTGTCTCTCTGGCCCTCTCCCTTTCTTTTCCTGTCTCTGCTTCTCACCGGTCCCTCTTTCCTTCTCTCTCTCTCTCTTTTTCTCTCTCTCGCTCTCTCATTTCTTATCCCTCTCTTTTACACCTCTCTCTCTCACTCTTATTTCTCACCTCGCTCTATTACTCCCCTCATTCTCTCGCCCTCTCTTTCTCTCCCTCTCTCTGTCTGTCTCTCTCTCTCGTCTCCGTCTCTCTCTCTCTCTCTCTCTCTATTCTCCTCCTCATCTCTCTCTCTCCCTCTCTCTCTCTCTCTGCTTCCTCTCTCTCTCTCTCTCTTTCTCTCTCTTCCTCTCTCTCTCTTCTCTCTCTCTTCTCTCTCTTCTCTCTCTCATCTCTCTTCTCTATCTCTCTCTCCTCTCTCTCTCTCTCTCTCTCTCTCTCTCTCTCTCTCCTCTCTCTCTCTCTCTCTCTCTCTCATCTCTCTCTCTATCTCTCTCTCTTCTCTCTCTCTCTTCTCTTGCTCGCTCTCCCACCTCTCATCTCTGTGATGTTGCCGTCCTGCAGGCGACGCGCATCGAAGACCAGCGCAGCTCGCTGCCGATCAGCGTGCACGACGGTGGCGCCCCCACCGTTCCCGACGAGGACTTCTTCAACCTCATCCAGCGCATACAGTCCGGCCGCATCGACGACCAGCGAAGCCAGCTGCCGGAGAACAGCGCAAGAGCAGCAGCAGCAGCAGCAGCAGCAGCAGCAGGAGGAGGAGGAGCAGCAGCAGCAGAAGGAGGAGGAGGAGGAGGAGGAAGCGGTTTCTCTTCGGCCCGCTCGTCGTTCAAGTCGTCGTTCAAGGGCTCCAAGAAGGGCTCAAAGAAGGAGAAGAAGAAATAGGGGCGCGCCCGCGCACGGCGCCGATTTTTCACTCGAGAGAGTTTTGCTCCCCGGGGCCCCGCCGAGAACACTCGCCTTTTTTTTACGCCGCACGCTGTCGAGATGCCCTCTTGTCAAGCAAGACGCTCGTCGCGCGGGACACGGCGCCACCTGCCGGAGGCCGTCACAGCACGTGTTAGTGTGTAAACTGTAGCGGAGCCATCGCCGGCGTCGGTGGCGCCACCTAGGGCCGCGGGGGCGCGGCGGCGCGGCGGCCGATGTTCGGAGTGAGCGTCGTTGTGAACGAGATCATGTTTTTGTTTACTTAAATGTCGTTGAGCCGGCCACGCTTCCTGCTCATCCCTCCCCCAGCCGTGTGCGCGTGTGCGTGTACGTGCGCCTGTGTGTGCGCGTGCGTGCGTGCGTGCGTGTATGTGCGTGCGTGTATGTGCGTGTGTTCGTGCGTGCGTGCGTGTGTGTGTATGTGCGTGCGTCCGTGCGTCCGTGCGTGCGTGCATGCCTGCGGCAACCTCATGCGATCGACCGGACGCAGAGTAAACACGCCGGCTGTTTTTGCACGAGCGAAATGTACGCAAGCGCGCGGTCGTTCTCTTCGCAATAAATCTGCAAACATGAGGCGAGCAGCAGGCAGACAGCAGCAACAACAACAGCAGCAGCAGCGGGAGCAGCAGCGGGAGCAATGGCAGCAGCAACAACAGCAGCAGCAGCAGCAGACAGACAGTGGCAGCAGCAGCAGCAGCAGCAGCAGCAGCAGCAGCAGCAGTAGCAGCAGGCAGACAGCAGCAGCGGTAGCAGCAGCAGTAGCAGCAACAGCAGCAGAGCAGCAGCAGCAGCATCAGCAGCAGCAGCCTCTGCTGTAGCCGGCGCACGGCTGCGTGGGCTTCACGAGTTCGGCTTCAGTTGAAATCACCGCGTCTGCGCGGCCGCGAAAGAAATCTCTCTCACCGCGAAGAACCCTGCGCGTTCGAGTAAAGTGTGTGGCGCAAAGAGGAGGAGGAGGAGGAGAAAAGAGAGAAATGGGGGGAGGGGGAGGTGGGGCACGTGTCAGTAATTTGTCAGTATGTTGGTACCTATGTTCTCACGTTCGATGCCAGTCGTGTTTCTTTCGTGCCGAGTATTTTTAGCTGCCGCATTTTCGAAGTAAAACGCTTTTACCTTGTCTCCTGTCGCTTGCACACGAGTATTCATAAGGCGTCGATCCATCGAAACCTTTTCTACTCGTTTTCTGCGCAGCAGCAGCAGCAGCAGCAGCAGCAGCAGCAGCAGCAGCAGCAGCAGTAGCAATAGCAGCTGCAGCTGCAGCGGCAGCAGCAGTAGCAATAGCAGCTGCAGCAGCAGCAGCAGTAGCAATAGCAGCTGCAGCAGCAGCTGCTGCATCAGAATTATGGTGAGCTGACAGGATGCGTTATACTGCACTTGATAGCTTGCATGTCACACACAGTGCCCGCCGTGTGGGCTGCGCGCGGGCACGATCACACCGCCACGCTTGTTTGATGTAACAACCACTTAGAGTCTCAGCTCAGCGTACACAGTACGCAAAACACGCCGTACGCAGCCATTTTTCGAGATGTCGGCGTGGTTTTTCTTAGCGAGTTTTCGCTCATCGGTTCATAACCGGGCGATGTCGATTTAGGTTGAACGTAATCTACGTTACTAGTAACTAACTAAACGATCGTGTGCGAATCACGCCACTTTCGCTCGTCAGTAGGACGCAACGACGCTCCCTGGCGAGGAAGGAGGCTTGAAGAATGAATCCGCGGTGTTGGGAACAGGCTACCGGTTACCTGGTGCATGCAGCCAAACGCGCCGGCGTACCGGTACACCGGCGTTCTCGTACCGTTGAGTTGGAGATTTCTGTGAGAAACTCTGTGGGTTTCATTATTTCCTAAGCGAGAGCGAGATACGTAGTAGCAGGTGTAGGTAGTTGCGAGAACAGAGTGGACGGCGTGGTTGTATCAGTCGCTCTACTGGTTTTGGCATTTTGTGGCCAATGTATTTAATAATGTATCTGGTAATAAAAAATAACCCATTCATAAAAAAACAATCGCTTGCTGCTCTTCGCATCTGCCGGTTTTATATCTAGCGTTGTGGTTACCTGTCTTTCCTTACCTCTATCTATCTGTTTGTCTGTGCGTCCGTACGTGCGTGCGTGCGTTTGTGTGCGTGCGTGCGTGCGTGCATTGCCCGCAATATCGACGTATCGTGCGCAATAGTTCAGTAGATTACCTCCGCCTCTATGATAAAACGTACGTATTCGCACCCGAGATGTACTTACTATGTACATATATATTATACGCACCTATATTAAGCGTACGAGGGCTGCATTCAGAATACACGAGAAAGAGGATAGCGGTGACTACGGACCGGTAGGTTTGTTAGTATCAACGCAGATTAAGTTTTTTTAGAGAATGTAGTTGCAATCTGATAGATTTATACTATATATTTTCTTCTTTGAGCTAGTATATTCCATTTAAAATATCACAAATTATCGCTCGGATAAATACTCGATATATCAGGCCTGCTTCAAATACCTTGGCTCGACAATAGATAAAGAAGGGGAGCTAGATAGGGAAATTAACGCAAGAATCAAGGTGGGTTGGAACAACTGAAGGAAGACGTCAGGAATTCTATGTGATAAAAGAATCTCTGCCAGACTAAAGGGAAAGATTTATAAAAACAGTGGTCAGGCCTGCAATGGTGTATGGTGCTGAATACTGGCCTATACAACAAAGCCAGGAGAGAAAGCTGGAGGTGGCGGAGATGAAGATGTTAATTAGGTGGATATGTGGAAAAACAAGAGAAGACAAGATCAAGAATGAGACGATTAGAGAAAGGGTGACGGTAACAATAATATCAAATAAGGTACAGGAGGTTACAATGGTTTGGACATGTGAGGAGAAGAGAGGACAACTGCATAGGAAGATGCACGCTGAACATGCAACCACCAAGCAGAAGAGGAAGGGAAAACCGAGGACAAGATGGATCCAGGAAGGACTGCGTGAAGAATGACTTGAAAAAGGGATTGGCGACACACGAAGTGTAGGATAGGGAAAAATAGAGGAGAAGAGTTCACTTGAGTGGACTAAGACTAATAATGCGAAGGAAGAAGAGTATCAGGCCTGGCGTAGCGGAGCACCAGCAGAAGCGCTGTTCCCTCCCGTAGATTCGCCTTTATTATTGTGTATCACATGATTTTATGTAGCATGCCTTGTTTTTAATGAAACATAAAGCATTGTGTGTGTGTGTGTGTGCATACGTGCGTGCGTGCGTACGTATGTACATATACATACAATGTGAGTATTCATACAGGCATACACCGAGGCGACGCATACATACAAGCCAACGAGTAAAAGTTTATTGCAAAAAACCTGATTGTATTTTTTAAATGCAAACCGCAATTGCAACTCGTAAAAAATTGCGAGACTGGCAATGACAGGTGACGCTCTCTATAATATCTCTGCAATCGACGAAATTTGAAAGCCTACAGGTTATGTGAGCGCGTGCGTTTCATCACTCCTCAGATATAAATAACCGGGTAAATAACCGACTGCCTAGAGCGAACATCGGGATATATATAACATAATAATAATAGATCTAGAAAAGGTACCAGAATGTAGAGAATGTATTAATTAAACAGCAGCCTCCACCTCACTACCCACGTGGATCTCTCTCTCTCTCCACCCAAGGCCGTACGCAGCAGGGGGGCAGCAGGGGCAGTTGACCCCCCTAGAGATTTTCAGAGTATGCCTTTTAATGGGACAAATAGGGCAATAGAGGGCGTGGGGAGTACCTTTGCCCCCCCTACAGAAAATTTCCTGCGTATTTGCCCCCCTACAGAAAATTTCCTGCGTATTTGCCCCCCTACAGAAAATTTCCTGCGTACGGCTTTGTCTCCACCCGAGCACCAATGTTGATTCGCAACGATCTTCTCTTCTTACACCGCCGACGATAACATAATATCAGGAGTTAATTAAGACAAATTGTCTTTATTAACTCCTGATAATATCAAGAGTAAGATAATACCCCATGGGTTATTATCATACTCTTCATAATATCACAACTGCTGATGATAACATAAAGCTTTCACGCGGGCACGTGTGCTCCCTGCTAAGTTCCGGAAATATCTCGGCAATCGACCAAATTTGAAAGCCTACATGTACAGGTTATGTGAGCGCGTGCGTTTCATCGCGCCTCAGATATAGATAACCGGGTAAACACCCGACTGCCTAGAGCGAACATTGGGATATATATAACAATAATAATAGATCTAGAAAAGGTACCAGAATGTAGAGAATGTATTAATTAAACAGCAGCCTCCACCTCACTACCCACGCGGAGCACATCTCTCTCTCTCTCTCCACCCGAGCACCCGCCAAGATGACATGTAGATAAATGAGCACATCTCAATCGAGCTCAAAAATCAATCAAATCAATCAATCTGTCAACTAATCGAGCGTGGGCCATTATTTCTAAGCGTTCTCCTCCAACCATACCAATTAAGCTATACCAATTAAGCTCGCTCCGTGATCACGGTTATCAGGAGTAAATGATAAGGTACGATTTACTCCTGGTGAAGTATCACCATGAGAGAAATAAATCCAAGAATCGCGGCCATCAATTAACAAGATGTCGGTAATACATGATAAACAGATTACCATGTACTCCCGAAGACATCATTATTCAAAAAACAAACCCTAGCTCGTCAATAAACTATTATAAATATATATGTATATATATAAGCGTAGTTAATAAACACGATTGTGATCTATTTCAAAAACAGCTGTTTTGAACAGCCACGCTTTTCGTATAAAACATACCAGTGCCAGTGAGACGTGCGCTTAGCTTTCGATCATATCAAAATAAGGATTACGTCTCAGAGTCGTCAATAAGAGCGACTAGCTGGCAGCTCACAGAACATTAATTACATGTCTTATCCACCTGAGGGTTATGAGCATTGTTTCCACACATAGGAAAAAATGCCTTCCTGTTTTATGCCTTACAATAATGCACACAGCACCATTGCGCCTGTGCTTGCAACGGTTGTTTGTACCTATTACCTTTAACCCAGCTGGCAATGGTGGTTCACACGCACTACTTTTACTGAAGCAGGCAACATCGGTTACACCCAAGAACTTTACCGCACTTTAATAATGGCTGTACCCATTACAATTACCCCATCTGCTAACAGTGGTTATACCCACACTTCTCCCACTGTGCACTTAACAGCATGTGCAACTACCGCATTTACACCATACGGTGACAACATTGCAGCATGCTAACCGAACCTTGCATAGCAGTCGTTGCTTAGACAGCAAAACTCACCCAGCAAACAACAACAACAAAGAAATAAACACACACACACACACACACACGCACAAAGGGGAAGCAAACAATAATCAGGTGTTGCAGTGCCACCTGGTGGCTGAGACTTGCAGGCACGTGCAACACTTGAGCAACCATGTCGTGGCATGGCGTCTGCACTCCGGCAGCCACGCCCGACATTAAAGACGTCACGACGTCACATGCATGCAGGGGACGTGTACACGTGTCAACAAGATGGCCGCCTAGCTAAAGGCAGCGAGGCCACTAGGCGTCTGCACGCTTAGCGACGACAATGTCTCGGTCAACGTCGCATCAACGTTATAGAAGGCAGCACCTGCGACAAGCAAACAAAAACATTCAGAAAAACAAAACGAAACGGTGACACATTGGCACCTGAGGGAACGCGTGAGTAGGTAGAAAGGTGGAGCAATGAAAACAATCATAAATAAATTGTACTGCGATCTAACACCGTGTAACGGGTACATTACAGTACAATTGAAATGTAATTGTACTGTAATGTGTCGTTCAAATAAACACACCGACTCCAATATGACGTGGTGTTGAACCTTGTGGTAATTAGTGTGCAACAAATCTTGGGCACATGGGCTGATGAAAACTACACCAATCCAATTTCATGCTCAAACAATGACTATTAAAGCAGTCCCACTACGTAATGTGCCGTAACATGCAAAAGCTGACGTCACCGTATAGTAATCTCAACCTAAAATGGCACCACCTACGCGCACAGGCCGTAAAGTTTGCTGCAACGTGGACAACGCCGCCGCAACGAACGTCGTTAGCACACCGAGAACACGCCGAGGTTCCCGGTGTGACGCGCGCGCGTGATGAACGTGCAGGCGTCCCGCGTGCCCCACTCTACCCGTGCGGCTGCTCGGCCGACCGGAACATGATCAGGGGAGCCATACCGGGGTCGAGCTCGTGCGGCAGGGCGGCGCGCTGCGGGTAGTACGTGTGCTTCGTCGTGTAGTGCATCAGGTTGGTGACGGACGACGTGTAGATGTCGGCGAAGCGGGCGAGCCGGCGGCTGAAGTACGTCGGGTTCGTGTGCGTGCGGAAGATGCTGCCGAAGCGAGGGTTGAACATCTCCTTCAGGCTGTTCCTGCGACGCGTGAGACAGGTACGAGGTTCAACAGTTGAGAACACAGGTCGATAGCCGACTACGTACGCCCCACGCAATGTGCTTTCAATCTGCTAACACCTATACAGGGCCGTAGGCTGAGCGAATTCCTATGGGAGCAAAATTTCATGACTCGACTGTGTAATGATGAAGGACGGGCGCAGCTCTTGATCGACGTCCATAGTGTGGTAGGGGTAGGTCCGAGACGAGGCTTTCACGAATAAGTGACCAAAAAAATCACGTTAGGGTTATTTACGATTATTGGCTAAGCTTAATTTTTAATTTTGATCCAAAATCTAGGGGGGCAGCTGCCCCCTTGCCCCCTCCCCAGGGGCTATATGATACAGAGGCCCGTTTCACGAAGCTATCGTAAAAACACCATCTTAAGGATATCTTTAGAATTCTTGTACGAGAGCCTAACGCTGTCCTAAACGTCCCTCGTTAAAGTATTTCATGAAACTTATACTGGTGCGTTGTTAGACGGTCTTTAAAATTCAGCTGTAACGATGTTGCTGGCGGCATAGACTGGTACCCTATCTCTACACCTTGCTACTAGATAGTCTATATATATAGAGACATGTTACAAGTCTAATGGCAACCCAGCTCACTGTGAGTTGCTACGCTAATCTCTGGCGTCATTTAGTTTTAATAAATGCAGGTACAACAGCGTGCAAACTAAAAATAATAGGTTAAAAGTATTTTTAAATGCCAAGTACCTGAGAAATAATTAAACTAAAGCAAGGTTGTCATATTTCTTGCAAATAGAACTACCACAAATGACGTATTGACTGAACAAAAACGTAACATAAATTCAGTAGGTTTAGATTTACGTTTACTTTGATACAGTATTGGCGCCATAGTATACAGTAATTACATACACGAACAGCCGAAGCACATGTAAGGTGCAAGGAAGCATTTCATCTCTTCAAAATCTGCTACCACAATAAGAAGCTTCTTAGCCACACTTAACCCTGCGTGTCATGCCTTCACAGGCCTTGCACAGTATTCTCGTAGACACAGAGAAGTTACCTTCTCGGCGGGTTTTCGCTTTACACTACTGCTTGCCAAAACAATGAAAACACGCGGGAAACCTCGCGTTGCTTGCTGTACGATAGCCCAAGTACTGCCCCTGACCTGTCCTTAAGATTCCTCCTTAATAGCAACGTCGTTGAGTTAGCGAGACTTTTGTGAAACGTGGAAACTTAGCGAGGCTTTCGTGAAACACTCTATATATAAGGATATCCTAAAACCCCTCTTTAAGTTTAACCCATCACTAACTTAACGAGCGCTTCGTGAAACGGCCCCCAGGTTGTTCCCAGGTTATCAACTACAGGTATGCCCTTATGCATATACAAGACAGGTATAATCTTGCACCTATACAACACAAGTACGAACATAAACAAAAGTAGACACAGGTATGGACATACACAAAAATAAACAGGTGTGCAGTTATGAACATACACATCAGATAAATGTAACACATGTATAACTTACACAATTAAATCTAGTGTACACACCCAATACAATATATGGCATTTTACAGCTATGATTTACATAACGTATGTAATCGTCTTTTATTACCTGAGTTGGTATCTTTCAGCTTTCCATGCATGAACGACTCTCTGAGCTTCTGGATCATCTTCCTGGAAATCCTGTTTATAGAAGCAATTCAGCCCACATTTTAGCTAGACATCCCAATTTTAACTTCAATTTTTTTCTTCCATTACACGATTACACAGTTTTGTGAGTAAACTACCATTTGCAGGCATCGTAAACCAACAGTGATGATAGATATAATACATCCGATTTACCTGCATGTTTGCTATCAACGTCTGTAGCGCTTGTAACCACACAAGATTGGACTTGTATGGGGTGGAGTTAATCACTTTGATCTCATGCTATAGAAAAGAGGGAAGTGGTGGTAAGCATCATACAGCTGCCATAATTACACACATACTAGTGAAAGGCCTCCAATAAATAGGACAGTGTTTCTTCTTAATAATTATCGTCTATAGAAATAGCGCACGATAACCGCAAGAGGAAAGACACTGATTACATTTTATTTTTATATTTCCACTGAAGATGGCACCACTCGTCTGTAAACATGGCATCGATTGAAAACATTGTGAAAGATACGGGAGAGATTTATTCTCGCTTGTTCGACCACCGGCCTGTGATACAAGCTGAGATCAAGTACTTTGTAAGAGAGTTTGAAACAAAGAGAAACGATAGGGAAGAGAAGAGTAGGCCTATCAAAGAGGTTCACAATTGCATTCTTCAGACACAAGCTTGTGCAGAAGATATTGCCAGTGCCGCTGTAGATATACCATCATTGACAGAAAGGTAGCTCCAAGAAACGGTACCATGCTAGGGTTAGAATATTGACGTCATTGATGTATATTGATGTATGTCATATTGATGTATATTGACGTCAGTCACACAGTCTGGTCGGGTTAACAGAAAGGTACAAAAACCCTCTATTACAATCCACCGATACTGATTATACTGATTGTGTATTCAGTATTGTTACCAGTATTATAATACGGGTCATAATTTCAAGCCGGTGGCACAGTCTGAAATTACCCCAGCACGTCGTGCGCATGCGTCAGTAGCGCCGGGTGTAAAGCGCAGTAACACTGGGTAAATGAGACTGCCGCGGAGCACCCAGGTTAAGATATAATTTGCGGGAACAATTCCAGCCCGGTCTGAGATTACCCCAGTCTGAATTTACCCTCCTATGGGCACCCAGGTTAAGATATAATTTGCGCGAACAATTCCAGCCCGGTCTGAGATTACCCCAGTCTGAATTTACCCTCATTTTGCGGTTAAGGATAGAGAACATAGGTCCCAATAAAACCAATGTCATTTACATCAATATAAATATAATATTATATCAATATAATAGGTTAGGGTTATGGTTAGGGTTAGGATTAGGGTTAGGGTTAGAATTAGGGTTAGGGTTAGGCACATTGGTTTTATTGGGACCCATGTTCTCTATCCTTGGGCCGTTAGGGCCAGGGTTAGAATTAGGGTTAGGGTTAGGCACATTGGTTTTATTGGGACCCATGTTCTCTATCCTTGGGCCCATTTTGCCAGACTCTAATTTAATCTCAGACTGTGACTGCGGCAATCACATTTATCCAGCGCTAAGTCACGCTTGCGCACGATGTGCTGGGGGTAATTTCAGACTGGTGCAATCGCAGACCTAGATACAATAATGTAACCCAACAAGAGTAGGGTTACAACGCGAGCCTATTCTTTTCTTTGGAGGAGCCCCTGAGTGATTCACTCAGGGCGGTTTTATGGTGCGTTTTTCCAAACTGGGTTTATTCTAAACACGAACCTTTCTCCGCTATCCTGGGACTTACTATGTATCACAATACTCTGTATTAAACTAATATAACCTGTTACAAAATTTTGAAGTGACGAGCGGCGATACTTCCAGCGTCATTTCTGTTGACCTGTGACGTACGCATTCCCAATGCGTATAGCGTTCGGCTAACTTCGGCTCCAAGATCGAATGCATCATGGGATGCCTGCTGTCAGTCATGACATCACCAGAGCCAGCATGTCAGGTAGCACAGGAGCCGAAGTTAGCGGAAGTTTTAGTCTCGAAAAACGCACCATAAAACCACCCTGAGTGAATCACTCAGGGGCTCCTCCAAAGAAAAGAATAGGCTCGCATTGTAACCCTACTCTTGTTGGGTCGCAGACCGTGATACCGGTATACACGTAAAATGTTCTAATAATAGAGAATTCTACAATGATGATCATTCTCTAGTTATACATCATACGTGTACATAAAAGACGGACACGGGACATAAAAAGCATTTGAACATGCCTGTGAACTTTTCCACTGATTCCAATGCTAGAGATCTTTAGAACGTGGCGACATCTATAGTACAGGAAAATCATAGTTGGACCTGATTGTAGAACAACGTGGCTGGCATAACTTGGCAAATAGTGTATCAGTCTGGTGTGACTTACTAACACTTATCTGTATTTAAGCAAAATAACCACGCTCCCTTGCATAATCCTGCTCGGTTAGATACAATAATGTAACCCAACACAAATCTACTCTTGTGTTTGGTTACATTATTGTATATGCTGCTCGGTCAGTCAAACTAGATAAGTTTACACGACTTTCACGTGTGCAGGGTCGGATTTAGGACTGGGTAAGCTGGATAGTTGCCCTGGGGCCTCCACAACCAGGGCCTTCCACATATTTCATGAAAAAAAAAGTAAGGAAAAATGTAGGCTGACCTGAACGACACGCACGTAGCAATCAAAACCATATGATATTGTGCGCGTTTTACGTCATATTAAAGCAACATACGCAAGCCATATTGTATTTGTTTGTGAGTGGTCGAAACAGCTAACTGGGTGTTTTCCTGCCATTGCTCAGCACACATCGGAAGACAAACATCTAAAATCTAACGTCATCCATCTCAACATTGAATTTCTTGCTTGCTTATTCAGATTCTTTCCACTTGAAAAAATGTACTTTATGGATGAATGTAACTATGTCTTGTCACCTTTTAGTTTTTAGTATTCTAAGGTAGGGTGGGCATGGATCCACTACTGAAGGCTGCCCAGGGGCCTCCACATGTCTGAATCCGGCCCTGCACGTGTGTATGCCAAATTGCCAACATTTTTGGCATCAAGCTTTTAGCACGCCACTGCCGCAATGCTGCTTGGCCAGAGCTTCCTGTTGATTACTCCACGTATATAAGTCAGTTAGAATCTATTGTATTTTACATGTTCAGTGTGTATGGCACAGACTTGTTTCTGCGGCCAGCATTAACCGCTCTTTATCCAGATTGTCTTCAGCTGCTACCATTGCACAACTCGGTATATAGGGTAACACAGTCAATATACTCCATACTCACGTTCACAGTAATTGGTAACAGGGCAAAATAGCTCAATTGTAACTCTTCTGGTTTGAACAGACACTATAAGCTCAATTGAGCTCAAGATATTTATTCTATCTAATATGATTTTACATTCTGATATGCATGATCACAGTCCTAAATTTTTCTATCAAGGTAATAATGATCATGACTAGACCTAAAACCTGTAGTTATTGTGAGGATATTCGGTGCCATATAATAAACCTAATAATGTTTTTTTGTGGATAGCCAATGTACAATTTCTATTGGCTGTATAATCTGCCAGACCTTTCAATGGATATAGGTGTTTTAATGCGCTACCACATGTGCTCGTTTCCACAGCACTTAGGAATACTGTAAACCTTTCTCTCGAACACAAGTTGCCTTTGTTATTCTACACAAACATCAGAAGCCATACAGCCATAGAAAAAGCAACGTTGCAATTACGACCAAGTTGTTTGTTTGAGTATGAAGCAGCTTGCCGGTTTTACTGGCATTTGGTTTGTTTTTACTGCGTTGCAATTTTATGCGGCTGCAAAACACGGCTGATGTATAGCTCAGGTCATCTCCGATTCCATACTCCACGCATTTTACACATGCATCATTATTACAGAGCATGGCAAAATGTTGACTTCTAGCTTGATACGGTAAAATGCCAGGAAACTATTAAATTATGAAAAGTTAAAAATAGTACTTTAAAAATATTACCCCGGTATATTATGACTTACATAACTGCAAATGAGCAAAAAAAAATCTAGACCTCTGAGAAAACTAAAAAGAGCTCTGCTGCAGGGTTTTTCTTCTGAGGGAAAATTAGACAAAGGAGATAATGACCAATTTGGGGGAAAAACGCGCATAATGCATTAAAAGGAAATAACGGAAAAGAGTAGACCCTGTGTCACATGACTCAATAAACACACATGGCAATCTAAATATGCCAGAAGCACGTGGTGATCTATATATTTTTGGGTTGACACCATTTTGACAGCGGCGGGTAAATACATGAACATTTTCACAACGGCGATGTTAAATTTGACAACGGCGGTGCGTCACTGTGCCTCGTATGTATATAGAAACCCTGTGCTGTACGATAAGGCAGTAGACATGCTAGATGGATTTTTCCATCACTGCTAATGACATTTTTCTCTTGTCGTTACAAACCTGTGTTGCATTGAGGCGAAACCAAAAAATATTTTTTTTAAATGCAAAGCCATCATAACAGATTCAAAACAGACGGAGCCTAATATCACATTTAATACTATCACGTAGGATTCGTCTGCTGGCGGGGGAGTGCCGGCACCTGGGGGCACAGCAGTACCGAGTGACACCCCCCGAGGAGCAGAGGCAGCAGCAGGAGCGCAGGGCCTGTGAGTGGAGGAAGTTCAGAGAGGATATGGAGCAGTGGCAGACGCAGGTGCGTATCTCTATCTCGCTCGCTCAGCGGCCATTGCAGGCTAGAATGAGTCGGCCAGCAGGCGTGCTGAGAGCAGTTGCATGCGCCGATCTATCCTCTACGATAGTCTAAAGCTGTTGTTATGGCGAAATATTGTGCAACAATCACGTTTTCAGAGTTACACTTCCCTTGGAAGTTTACCGTGGAGAGTAAATGGAGGAGATGGCTCAGTCATCTTTTCAGCATTAAACTTGTAAATCGAATTTAGGTTTACACACATTTATTCTTGGCTGGACCTAGGGTATTAGACAGGATTAAAAAAAGTAGGACTCACAAATAACTGGAACATTCGTGTCTAATCAATGTGAGCGCCAAAGTTGTTCTCCTATGGGGTCCGGGAAGTCCCCCCCTCCCCAGAATATTTTTTTTACAAAAATGGTGCAGTTTTGTACACTCTGGGGTATTCTGAATAGTAAAAATAGCATCAAGACACTTGGGCGATGGAAAGTTCGGAAGCGACAGGGCGATTAACACCTGTGCGACACATGTCGACGACGCTTGCATGTATGTGACTGTGCACATGGGCAATTTCACCAAGGCGTAGAAAGCTTTGGATTACGTTTGTAACTTCAGGCAAATTTCCCCCTCCCATGCCCTGAATATAAATATCTAGTAAGGTTATGGCAGCCACACCATGAACCATGCAACTGTTTACACAGATGAAAAAGGCCATCCACCTTCAAGAAGCAATAAGACCTTGATATAAATGCATTAAAATAGATTACGCTCAGAAATAACTTCAATTAAAATCTGGCAATCTTCCATCCGCTACGATTGCTCCGCCATAGTGTCAGGACGTTATCACTACGATGCCAACGTGATGTGAGACAGTGTATTATCGTTGTAGCTCGAACAACAGAGCATTGAGGAGGAGAAGAAGTTTAGACAATACTATGCTGACCTTGAAGACAAGCTGAAGCTGGGACTATACACGCCCGGTACAAAGCAACCATTCGATGGCTAGCAGAAATTCCTCAGCCTGAGTATACACACCCAAGTACTGGATTCTTATCACGTTATACAAGTAACAAGATGTTTCATACTCATCATTCCAGATTTAACTGATATCATAAGGATAACACAATGTTAGGTAATTTAACAGACACCTGTGACTGTCTGATTATGTAGGCATGATTAGCGCGCTATGCTAGATAAATTTAGGCAATAATTATTCAAGGGGATGAGAACAGTGATATTATGCCATCGTAATATATTTGTTTATGTTTGCTTTCTGTTATTGTTATGAGTTTATGTGTGATTTTATTTTAAAGTATGTTAAATATAAATGATTCTAAATTGTGGTTTAATGTTGTTTTTTAGCCGAGATTGCAATTTTGACTATAGGGATCGCACACGCTCTAACTACACGCAAATAATTCATACCGAATAATTCATAATTCATAATTCACTGACCGCGAAATTGTTCGTCAAGTCTGAATTCGCAAAAATATCTGTACGCGAAAAATATGGCATATACAGTATACACGCAAGGTGCAATATTATCCTCTACGCAGCTCTCTCGTGTCAAATGCATGTTAATGAAATCATCCAAGCTTCTCTTGTTCCTCGATTACCCTCACAAATGAAATACTCTCGCAAGACTTCTACACTCTGCTAGACCGACTCCTAACGTCCTGGCAGCTAAACCTCGGGGATTCTCAACGACCGCTGGAGTTAGTCTAATGTACTCATAACTTGACATCACTAGTTTTTGCTCACCTCTAACTCTGGTATGATCGCTCCAGTGCGCCACCCGTGTCTAATCGCCGGATCCTGAAACCACAGAAACCCTACATTTAATACTGAAGACCGACATGCAGGAGTGGACTGAGAGTGAGATATTTGATTCAAGGCCAATTGGAGTGCTTCGTGCATCGAGACAAATGAATACAAATTAGCGAGATATAGTTTAATCGATTGAATGTTATTGATCGCGGATACCAGATATTGAAATATATCATATATCATATAATGCATTATGACCAAATCAGCTGCAGCTTGTAGAATCGCGTGATTGTCCGTGCGTCTGTCCGTCCGTGCATCCGTCCGTCCGTCAACAGTTGGGCACAAATCTTAACCGCTCGACGTATGGTATTGATATTCGGGACGTCGGGGAGGGGGGGGGGTCGCGAAAAGGACTCGGGATGTCGAATTTGGGGGGTCAAGGGTCAAGTTCAAGATGTGTCAAGGTATAGGAGGAAATACGGAATTGCGGCACAAATCTCAACGGCTCAACCTACGCTCTTAATATTCAATACATGTGTATAGTGTGATGGGGAGGAAACCCATCACCAGCACAAAATTGGAGGTCACAGGTCAAAGGGCAGTGGGGAAAAGGTCAGATATCACATTTTCTGAGGATATGGTCTAACAGACCGAGTGCATAACTTTTTTGTTTTAAAGCTGACCTACCATTTTCATCACTTTATTGAAAGGACCATGAAATCGACGTTCTGCTGACGTACGAAGAGTAAGTGTCTGATAACCTTTTGACCCTCAAGAGGAGGGTTAAACATGGATTTAATGACTGTTAACAAAGGACTGAACTGCTTTTGCTATTAGAGCCCCTCCACCCCCTCCCCCCACCCTCCCCTCGCCACCACCACTACGCTCGCGCTCGACGCATATCCATGATAACATGTTAATATAGCGGTCATTAAAGTTACACAGCTGTATCCTTGTTACTGTACTACCAGTAGGTATAGCAAAGCCTATCATAGATTTTAGATCTGTATTAGTAGTATCCTAGATATATGCTCTGAGCGCGAACGCGCGCAAACGCGGTGGCAGGTGGGCGCACTTGATTCGGTTGCCAGTGAGTTTATCAGAAGAATACCTGGCTACAGTACACGTCAGTTGAGCGCTGTCGCTCTGCGGCACTTGTTTATAATACAATATTCTAAAAGCTATGTAACAGTGTTATACTTGCTTATGTTTGGTGTAGGTTAGAAAAGTAACCAAAAAAATTATTTATTTTCATAATCGAGTGCTTAGTCGGTTGCTGCAAACGACTGACGTTCGATTATAATCGACCTTCGGGACGTCACTACCAATCAATACCACGGGAGACGCGATGCTGCTCGAATGGAGCGAAGTTATTGCACGTTGTTGACAACCTACCGCCAAGTCACTATAGACGTGGTCACCGAAGTACAACACCTTGCTTCCTACCCATCCAGTCATTCTCTTGAAGTGGTCTATATTTCCCTGAAATGTGCAATCGACCCGCCGTCACAGATAGCGCCGTACAGTGGAGAAGTTAGCAGACACCGGGTGTCTGGAATCGCTAATTCAAGTGCAGTGAACAGATGCCAACCCATGGAAAAGGTGCGAAGGTTTCGTGTATTGTCTCACGGCATTACCGGACACTACCAGAGCTTTCCTGTTGGCGGGAGAGCAAAAGCGCCAGCTTATTGGGAATGCCTTGCTTCTTACCTCCGAGTATATGTTTCCTTTCTCGAGTTTTGTAACAAAGTTCCAAGTTCTTGCTCTATTCTGAACGTCGTAGTACCGAAATGGCCTGAAATAAGCAACGAAGTGAATTGAAATAGGCCGCTCTAAATCATCATGTGCATGTATGCTTCCAATTTTATTTTCTCCAATTTCCAAATAAATTGCATAATACGAATAGATATTGGCTAACGGCATCACGTGCTGAAAGTTCTCTCTCTCTCTCTCTCTCTCTCTCTCTCTCTCTGTCTCTCTCGTCTCTCATCTCTCTGATCTCTTCTCTCCTCTCGTCTCTCTCTCTCTTCGATCTTCTCTCATCTGCTCTACTCGATCTCTCTGCTCGCTTCTTGCTCTCTCCTCTGCTCTCTCTGTCTCTCTCTCTTGCTCTCTCTCTCTCTCCTTTGTCTTTCTCGATTCTGTCTGCTCTGATCTCTGCTCATGTCTCTCTCTCTCTCGTCTCAGCGGCACATACATGACACACGCTTTGTCTTCTCTCCTGTCTTCTCTTGTCTTATCTTTGCCCGTCCGCGCCTCTCTCACCACTCTCGTCGGCCACTCGGTGTATCTTACACGCTATGTGGTTCGATCTGATCGCTTTTGCTTTGGGTTGACGAGTTTACCTGCTGGTTTATTTGAAGAACTTTGGTTTGTTCTGGCTTAGTGATGATGATAAGATCACACGATCTCACGTTCGCAGTTGTCCCCAAGGCAGATACATGGGCTACCTTTCGACTTGATTATTTTATTAAATGGTTCTATGCCAATGCTGGCTTTATTACTGTAAGTAATAGGCAATGCAATTTTCCGGACATACAAAGCTGTCATATATTGTAATACAGGTTAGCTGCGATGGCCATAAAAAAAACAAATTAGAACGTAGGCAGTAATATTTGCATGTTAGATATTGATCACTTTCTACGCTATTTGGCTAAAGCTACTTAGCCGAATTCATCAACAATCAGGGGCAGAATAAACCAGCTCATTCAAGTGGAAAAAATCATTTTGGTCACCTGAATGTTTTTTGGCAATGTGCCGACGCCTATTGGATAGCAATTCGACGGCACGTTGAAGTCTCCGTTTTTTTTGTTTTTTTTTTTTTTGTTTTTTTTTTTTTAGCGTAGCAAGCTCTTTATTTGCAGCAGGTTGCAAATACGTGACGCGAATTCGGAAGGGCAACGTTGCAACCGAGGCTCATGCCTTCATGCATGCGTGTGGATTCTATACCACATCTGCGTTGGCAGAATGCAACGACTCACAGTGAACCCCCCCCCCCACACACGACATCACGCCGACGACCCACCACGCACAGCACACAGGCAGTTACACAATCACGTGGATATTTATAGAAAGAGCACTTAAGGCAGCAAGGATAAGAAATTGTATTAGGAGGATATGATAACTAATTTCGTGTCGCGCCGCTACTCCTGATCTTATATAGTACTGTGAGGAGTGTAAATAAGTAAGCTATTATTCATTCTTGCTGGTAAATGATAGCGCAAGAAATGCAATACTTGATCTTTCATAATATGTGGACGCTATTATTATGTGCTTATGTATGCAAGCTAATGTATTACAGCAATGCATAGCTCATGGTGTCAAATAATACTAGCCGAGCCACAACATGGCTAAATTTTCGGTGGCATCGGATAACACAATTACGTTGGCTTTCCGATCAGCATGCGAATCTTAAAGATGGACTATGAATCCTTTCGAAGGCTACCGACGGCCGTGGGGGCATTTGATGAGCAGAGAAACAAACACATGGATAGAAGGTAGTCAGAAGGGGATTTGTCCTAACTTTAAAGCGTCTGCACACGTGCAAGTACATCGGCGGTTTCACAGAGCTTAGATAGAGGGGTACCTTGGCTCACCGTAATGCATAGCTCTGCTGTTTGTGCACGAGGAAGAGGCTTTTTTCCCTGCTCCTCAGCCTGCCGCAGCATCTGCTTCAATGCCGTCGTCCTTCTCTTCACGTATTGTATCCTGGAAGTTCGTCACGTGTTAAGCCGATACATAGTTCTTTGCGAAAATGCATCGTCGTATTCATGTTGATTAATCGTTGCAATGATGATACGCAGATGAGATAGAGTTTTCAGAATAGCTCTTCACTCTCGTCTGTGTGCCCATAGTTTTTGTGTGTTAACATATGGTGTGATTCGAGCCCGGCCCATGTACGGTCCCAGGCCATCATGTGTCTGAGTCAGAGAAGTTTGGGTAGAGTAAGAAAGAATGAGAGAGGTGTGTTGTACGGGTTGCAGGGGTCGAAATTAGGTTTTTATTATGGTATCCATTCGGGATACGCAGGTATTCGAATCTGGTATCCCCCAAAGATCCTTGGTACCATTTTTTTGGATATTAATTTCAACATGGTTGGTTCCCAAATCTTGAAATATGCAATAGATATAGCTTTGAAAATTATTAAATATGTAATGTAATTATTGATATGAAAAACCTGAAAACAGATTCACAGATATGGCAGCAGACATACACTGCAGATCGTATTGACTAGACCATTGTTGGTTCGCTTGATACAATGTATATCACATACCGATTTTGACGATTTTTTTTTACTATCCCGGCGGGATACCAAGCTTGAAATTCTGGTATCCAACACAAGAATCTACTATCCGCGGTATCGGGATACCGCTAATTTCTGACCCTGGGTTTGTATGTGCAAATGAAGATGCTGTGTAGCGGCGCAAGTAAAGATATCGTATGCAGGAAGTAGTCACACCACGGTGTAGCAACTGAGGGATTTCCGTTGACCTCGAAAGGTGGTATGGTTGCTGAGATCAAGCAGTACAAGAACACCAACATGCAACATAGGAGATCAGGAGATGTGCAAGATGAGAGTATTAACTGCTGCTTTAGCACTTTCAGAAGATGAACTAATCACATCACGGTAGGGGTCAGTCATGCGGGCGACACCTGAGCCCACGCGATACATGCAATAAGCGGCAATTTGCTCTTAATCGCATGATATGCGCATCATGCATGTATACATGTGGGATGGATCCACGCATATCATCATCATGCATCATGCTTCGTTTAGATGTCGATCTTTTTCCGTGCCTGGGGTTGGACTTGCGATGATCTCTCCAGGTTCTCTGTCTTTGCGTTGATCCTTCATCTATATTCATAGTCTTCAGATGTTTCTGGCCTGTCTCCTCATCATGGTTCTCTTTGGTCTTGCCAACCAGTCTTTTTCCAGGGATTCTCTAAAATTCTTCCAGCAAATCGCTCAGTATTCCTGCCTTCGTCTCTCTTCTTACATGCCCCAAACGCTTGAGTCTTCTCTGTCTAGTTCTATCTGTATGCCCTTCTTATCAGATCTCTTTGGCCAACTTCTTGCACTGGATTGCCTATGCTGCTATCTGAATCACACAATTGACAATAATCATCCATCTAGCGATCTATGGATCTACACATGTACAGATAAATATCGCTAGCAGAGATCTCTAATTCCTATTACAAGAGATTATTCGCGAATAAACGATTTTGCATGTGGATTTGCAACATATCCGGCGAATTTTTGTAATCAAGCAATTTACAAACTCCATAAATCAGTAAGTTTACACACATCAAACAGGTTTTTAACGGCTTTTAGATAGAGACGATAACAAGGCCGACTACTCGAGGTGCATGATAGAAAACGTTGCAGCACTCATTTTTGTGATGAAATCGAAGGCTACAACGAGAAAACGTTACGCACAGATTGGTTTCAATTCGTTTTAAATGTAGGCATCGCTTTGGCTCATCAGCGCACATGTGGAGCCCTAACCAAATGCTGCTTGATGGGGTAACGGATGACGAGTGACATACACTCAGGCATTGAAATTAAGCACAAATGTGACAAGGCGCGCACACAAAATTTTAAGAGGCGCTTAGAGCAAATTGAACAGACCCTTCACGTTTGAACAGGCGCCTCATTTTGTTCATTTTAATAATCATTATTAGATAAAAGTATTACTTTGTGTTTATTAGGCATACTCATAATATATACTTTGCATAGTTTGTGATAAGGAAGTAGAGTAGAGTCTTATAGTGAAAGTAAGGACAGTCAGAATTTGTATTATGTTGCTACTAAAGGCTAAGATAGCGCTAAAAATTTTGAATACGCCAAGTAGATTGATTATATGGGGGTTGAACTGGTGGTTTAGAAGGTTGAAGCTGGTGGTTTAGAGGGTTCAACGGCGGTGGCCCGGCTAAGACAGCGTAATGCTCGCGCAGCTGTCACTGATCACCCATGTCTCCTGAAATTACTTACTCATGTTTCTTTTGGAACCTCTTGGTGGCATCAAGCCGACGTGTGAAAAACTCCACGGCCGTTGCAATGAAACGAACACAGTAAGCACTAAGCTATATGAGCTTATACAAGTAAAGTACGTACAG